CGCCGGCCTGCCAGGGGCTGTGCGCGCAGCTGCACCTCTGCAAGTTCATGGTCTCCGGCGCCTGCAAGGTCCTGAGGGCCGGGTAAGCGCCGCGCTGGGGGGTGGGCGGTGGACCTCGGCGCCCCCACGCTCCCAGCCCGCGTGGGGTCCGTCTTAGGTCTCAGTGAGGTGGCCTTTCCCTGGCTCTCTTCGTTCACCTCAGCGAACATTTATTGAGCACCTCCTGAGTACCTGTGTGAGGGACTGGGGGTCGAGTGGGGTCCTTTAGACTCCTGACACTCTCGGAAAACAGTGACTTGAGCGCTGTCTCAGGTGGGACAGCTGGGTGTGGCCATATGGGGGTGGGGGGAGAGGGAGAGGGAGGCGGTGGCTTGGAGTGGGGCTCCCCGACGCCACGGGGCTCCCGAGCTCGCTTGGGGGGCCAGACAGCCGGGGCTTTCTCTGCCCAGCAGCCGGCAGGAAACTGATAAAACCTCACTCAACCTTGTTCACCTGCTCACGAGCCGGAAAACGGAGGCAAACGCCTTCTCACCGCCCACGAGGCCCTTGGGTTGCTGGTACCTGCCCGCCCCCCTGCCACGGCCCCTGGGCCACCTTATGTTCCTGCAACACCTCCAGCCCTTGCTTTCCGGTGGGCTTGTGCTCTGCCGGGAGTGCCCTTTCTGGCTTGCTCGTTAATCCTTCAGGCCTCATCTCAGAGATCCATTTGAGAGCTTTTCTTCCTCTTTCTCTTGGCCACACCTGGGTTGTTTATTTTCCTCACACACCTTGCCCCCTTTAGACCGTAAACCCCCTGAGGCAGAGGCTTCCTCTATCTCATCCCTGGCTGTGCAGCTCCCCAGCACTTAGTACTCCTGTTCGGCTCATAGTAGTGAGCAGTGGGGTTTGTAGAAGGGTTTACAGAAGTTTATGCTAAAGAATTTGGACCAGCCGGGCTCGGTGGTTCAGCCTGTAATCCCGCGTCTTGGTAGGCTGAGGTGAGTGGATGGCCTGAGCCCGTGGGTTCGAGACCCGCCTGGGCAACTTGGCGAGCCCTCACCTCTACAATAAATAAATAAAAAATTAGCCGGGTGTGGCAGCGCGCGCCTGTAGTTCCAGCTACTTGGAAGGCTGAGG